GTGCTTGTATGCGTGTGTGTGTAGTGTGTGTGTATAGTGTAGTGCGTGTGTGTAGTGTAGGTGTGTAGTGTAGTGTATTGTTTGTGTGTGTTGTAGTGTGTATGTAGCGTGGTGTGTGTGTGTGTGTGTGTGTGTTTGTAGTGTAGTGTGTGTGCATGTGAACAAATGGAGGGAAAGATGGATGGAGAGAAGGAGGAACGAAGAGACAAAGAAACAGAAACACGAAGAGGAAGGACAGAAGGAGGGGCCAAAGAACAGGGGAAGAGGAGAGAGGACGAAGCGTCAGAGAGACAGAGAAAGAGATAAAGAGAAAGAGAAATACCGAGAGATGAGGAGATGAAAAGATGGGGAGATAGAGATGCAGAGAGAAAGAGAGAAAGAGACAAAAGGATGGAAAGCAGATGAGACGAAGAGAAAGAGAGATGAAGATATATCTCACGATGTCGAAATTCTCTGAAAATCCTTGGCCTGAGGAGGTTCTTATCACATCACCATTATCATCACCAATCTCACCATCATCATAACCACCACCATCATCATCGTCACCATCAGTATTATCATTAACAGAATCATTATCATAACCACCACCATCATCATCGTCACCACCATTAGTATTATCATTAACAGAATCATTATCATCAACAACAGCATTACCATCATCACCACTACCATCATTATCAACATCACCACCACCATCATCGTTATCATCATCACCACCACCATCATCACTACCATCATCGTTATCATCATCACCACCACCATCATTATCAACATCATCATCACCTTCATCGTTATCATCATCACCACCGCCATCATTATCATCATCATCACCATCATCGTTATCATCACCACCATCATCGTTATCATCATCATCATCATCGTTATCATCACCACCACCACCATTATCAACATCATCACCATCATCGTTATCATCATCACCACCATCATCGTTATCATCACCACCACCATCATTATCATCACCACCACCACCATTATCAACATCATCATCACCACCATCATCGTTACCATCGTTATCATCACCACCATCATTATGAACATCATCACCACCATCATCGTTATCATCACCACCACCATCATCGTTATCATCACCACCATCATCGTTATCATCATCGTTATCATCACCACCATCACCGTTATCATCATCACCATCATCGTTATCACCACCATCAACGTTATCATCATCACCACCATTATCGTTATCATTATCAACATCATCACCACCATCACGTTATCAACCACAACCATTTATCACCACCATCATCGTTATCATCACCACCACCATATAATCATTATCACCACCATCAACGTATCATCACACCACAACGTTATCATTATCAACATCTTCACCACCATCATCGTTATCATCACCATTATCAACGTTATCATCACCACCACCATTATCATCACCATCAACGATATCATCACCACCATCATCGTTATCATTATCAACATCTTCACCACCATCATCGTTATCATCACCACCATCAACATCACCACCACCATCATCGTTATCATTATCAACATCTTCACCACCATCATCGTTATCATCACCACCATCAACGTTATCATCACCACCACCATCATCGTTATCATCATCACCACCATCATCGTTATCATCACCACCACCATTATCAACATCATCATCACCACCATCATCGTTATCATCATCACCACCATCATCGTTATCATCACCATCAACATCATCATCACACCATCATCGTTATCATCACCCCCACCATCATTACCAACATCATCACCATCAACGTTATCATCACAATCATCATTATCATCACCACCATCATCGTCATCATCACCACCATCATCGTTATCATCACCATCGTTATCATCATCACCACCATCATCGTTATCATCACCATTATCGTTATCATCACCACCACCATCATTATCATCATCACCACCATCATCGTTATCGTCATCACCACCTTCATTATCAACATCATCATCACCATCATCGTTATCAATCACACCTTCGTCGTATCATATCACCACCATCATTATCATCATCACCACCATTATCGTTATCATCATCACCACCATCATCGTTATCATCACCACCATCATCGTTATCATCACCACCATCATCGTTTATCATCACCACCACCATCATTATCAACATCATCACCACCATCATCGTTATCATCACCACCACCATCATTATCAACATCATCACCATCATCGTTATCATCATCACCACCATCATCGTTATCATCACCACCATCATCATCGTTATCACCACCACCACCATCATCGTTATCATCATCACCACCATCATCGTTATCATCACCACCATCATCGTTATCAAATCACACACCACATCATCGTTATCATCACCACCACCATCATCGTTATCATCACCACCATCATCGTTATCATCAACACACCATCATCGTTATCATCACCACCACCATCATCCGTTATCATCACCACCATCATCGTTATCATCACCACCATCATCTTATCATTCAACACCACCATCATCGTTATCATCATATCACTATCATCGTTATCATCACCACCATCATCATTATCATATCATCGTATCATCGTTATCATCACCACCATCATCGTTATCATCACCACCATCATCGTTTATCATCAATACCATCACCATTATATCATCACCACCAACACGTTATCATCATCATCATTATCATCACCATCCATATCATCATATCCCATCATCGTTATCACCAATTATCACCACCACCATCATTATCATCACCACCATCATCTTATCAACATCATCATCATATATCATCACCATCATTCATCATCATCACCACCATCATATCACCACCATCATCCATCATCATTATCATCACACACATTCATCATTATATCACCCACCATCATTATCACCACCATCATCATTATTCCACATCATCATCATCACCATATCATTCATCATCATTCATCATCATTATCACCACCACAGCATATTATCACCACCACCATCATCGTTATCAATTATCAATCACCATCCCCAACACATGTTATCATCATCCTTACCACTACCAACACCTTCATCATTACCATCATCATAATGTATAAAAAGTATTCTCATTCATACCATTAATACGGTTCATCAACATCATTTTACCAAAACCATTACTACCACCACCATCATCATCTTCACTACCATCAATATCATCACTACTACCATTGTTATCACCACCACTATCATTATCATCATTTACACTATCATTACCAACACCACAATCATCATTATCTTCATCATCACTACCACCACCATCATTATCATCGACATCATAACTACGATCATCATCACATCATCATCATCATAAGCATCATTATCATCATAACCAGCTCTGCAAAAACACCATCATCATCACCTCCGCTATGAGCACATCCTACTTTTCCTCATCTTCACCACACTACCACCACCATCGCCACCACCAACACCATCATCATCATTATCATCATACTCGTCATCATATCATCACACGCACTACGACCATCAACACTATCATCATCATCGCTACCATCACCATCATCACAACCACACCATGACCATCGTCATCACCACCGCCACAGCCACATCATCCTCATCTACATATTCATCACAACCACCATCATCGGAATAAAAAAAAAAAAAAAAAAAAAACAAGAGGAAAGATAAAGAGGAAGAACAAGAAGCGAAGAGATAATGCAAAGGCAGAGAGATAATTTATTTCATTATTTATTTATGTCGCTTTGGGTTCGAAGCTTCATGACGAGGCTTCGAACCCAAGCTGCTGGGTGGATTTGAATCGGAAAGGCTAGATCAGTAGCAACTGGAGGAGGTGTCACGGCGCCTGTTTTGATGCTTGTTCAATGAAAATATATCAATTCAAATCATTATTTTCCATCCTTTTTTTGAAAAATTGAAAGGACCAAAATGATCGGCCATATTCACGAAGCGTCCGTAACTTTTGTGACGTCATCAAAATAAACCCCATGTGCTTTTATTTCCAAAAATAGAATCACGCGCCATGACACCTCCGCGAGTTGCTACTGACTTATCTGCGTATGTCTCTCTATCTCTCTATCTCGTATACTCCCTCTCGTTGTTTCTCCTTCTCTCCGTGCTTTCATTTTTCTTCCTCCCTGTGTCTCCACCTCTCCATCTCTTTTTTGTTTCTCCTTCTCTTTCTCATCTCTCTCGTTTCTTCTATATCTCCCTGTGTTTTCGTCTTTCCATCTCTCTTTTTTTCTGTCTCCTTCTCATCTCTCTCCTTGCTTCTCTTTCTCTCCGTGCCTTCATCTTCCCTTCTCCGTGTCTTTGTCTCTCCATCTCTCCCTCCTTTTGTGTCTTTTTCTCTCCATTTCTCTACCTGTGTCTCCGTCTCTCCTTCCTTTCGTGTTTCCACATCTGCTTGCCTCCGTTTTTTTCTTCTTCCTGTGCCTCCTTTTCTCCTTCCCTCCTTCTGTGTCTTTTTCTCTCCGTTTCTTCATATCTCTACCTGTGTCTCCGTCTCTCCTTCCTTTCGTGTCTCCTTCTCTGCGTGCCTCCGTCTTGCCATTTCTTCCCCTTTCAGCGTCTCCTTCTTTCCATGTCCATCTTTTCTTCTCCGTTTATCTTCGCTTCTCCTCAACTTCACGCGGGTCCCTCTGCCTCGCGGCCCTGAAGCAGCGTCCTCCCGAAAGCATCCTCCTGCAGGGGGTGCAAGCGTCCGAGCCCAGGCCGGGAAGACTGAGCGACCGCCAGTGTGTCTGAAGGCTTTTCAGGATTCGTCGTATCTGTGAATTGATTAAGAATTGAAGATTACATCGACTTAATTTATTTATTTATCTTCATCGAGGTTCAAAAAACGTACAATGGTTTTCACGGGGAATTCAAGGCTCAAGACGGTCACTTTATATTTCCTGTGTGAAGTGTATGATTAACCGAAGTTTTGCGTTTTGCGGCATGTACATGTTTTCTCCTTAGGGTCTTCAGTATGCTGAGTTTGTAACCC